AAAAATAAAAAAAAATAAAGAGATAGAAAGATAAAAAGATAGAAAGATAGAAAGAAAGAAAAATAAAAAATAAAAAATAAAAAGGTAAAAAGATAAAAAGATAAAAAGATGAAAAGAAAAAACAAGAATAAAAATATAAACAAATAAAAAAATAAAAAAATAAAAAAATAAAAAAAAAAACTAAAAAGATAAAAAGATAAAAATAGAAAAATAGAAAACGATAAAAAGAGAAAAAGATAAAAAGATGAAAAGAAAAAAGTAAGAATAAAAAGATAAACAAATAAAAAAATAAAAAGATAAAAAAAACTAAAAAGATAAAAAGATAAAAATAGAAAAAGATAAAAAGAGAAAAAGATAAAAAGATAGAAACATAAAAAAATAAACAGATAAAAAAAATAAAAACATAAAAAGTCTAATTGGTTAAGAATCACACAAATAGAATAGTTATATCACGAGTCTCTGACAACGACGCCAAAAACTTATTAACACTCCGGCAAGTGTACCGAATCGTATCAAGTAATAATAAATGGTAAGACCAAGTATCGTTTCCCAAGAAACTCACGACATATGTGATTACTCAACTAATTAAGACTATAATGAACAAATTTTGGGGTTTTGAATGCAAATGCAATAAGATAAACATGAATGCAATTTGATCAATTGAGGCTAAACACAAGAATGAATGGATGAGTTGATGATATTGTTGTTGGGTTTAGATTTCACCTAATTTACTCTCATGCATATATGAATTCATCTTCCTCATTAATGTTAATGTCACTTTCTAATTTACCTTAAACCCGATGTCTTGGTGAAGAAAGCCTAATCCTAATTACTAGTTCATAATGTCTTATCTCTCTAGTCATTAATCATGCATTACATTCGCACAGAAGCTTAAAGGCAACCAACCCTCCTATCCCTATGTCTAGGTAATATTGCTTTTGGGAGAATTTCCCCAGTTCTAGATTTCCCCATATGTGTCCATACCGACAAAATCAATTATCATTCTATGAATGAGTTAAACAAAGCAAGCATAGAGTATAGAGGAAAAGCCCTAACAATTAATGAAGTAAAGCATATATAATCAAGAATCAATTCAATACATGAGAGTTTAAGAGGTTAAATATTTCACAAAAACAAATAAGGTTTAGTTCCCCATTATCATGGAGAAACTAGATGAACAATGAAAGAATGAAAGAGATAGAAAAACCCTAGAAAGAGAAGAGGAGACTCCCGCATCCCCAAATCTACCCCCAAGGGGTGAAAAGTGTGTTTATGTGCCAAGCCATCAAAAGATACAATCCCTAGGACATGCAAGTCCTTAAATAGAACTAAAATATAACAGAAAACAGGTCCAAGCCCACGAAACTGGCGCTCAGCGCTACTTTTCTGCACTCTGGTTGACTTTTCTGCATTCTTGTTGACTTTTCTGTAGTGATTGACTTTTCTGCATTATGGTTGACTTTTCTGCATTCCAACTATTTGATACTTTAACTCTTCTTTTTAATCATTCCAATAGCCTAGAAAATCAAAGGAATTTAGTGATAAAATCATCAAGTATAACCTCAACTCTCTTATTCACAAAACTAAAGCAAAAACATGAGTTCAAGCAAGTTTCTAAGTTAGAAAGGGTGTTTTTAATATCAAAATTAAGTATAAAAATAACGGTTTTTCAACTGTTATCAGAAAAGCAAGCATATAAGACTAGATTTAATTTTCTAAGGGAGCAAGTTAAAACATAATGTGTATCCTATTGATTCAATTATATTTGAGTGTGTGGTTGTTTGATTAAGCATGATGTGTATATGGTTACTTCCTTGATCCATCTATATTAAAGGTTTAGTGTTGTGGATATTGCCCACAAGGTGTTTGATGATATGCCCGTCCGAGATGTAGGGTCTTGGAACGCAAAGATTTTGGGGTTTCGTCAAAACGGGAAAGCAATTAGGGCATTGGGTGTTTTAGGTAAGATGAAGGCTAAAGGGGTGAAAATGGATACAATTACGATGGCAAGTGTGCTTGTTGTTTGTGAGTAAGTGAATGATGTTGTTTATGAGATGTTGGTTCATTTGTAAGTGATAAAGCATGGGTTGGAAAGTGATGTTTTTGTTTGCAATGCTTTGATTAATATGTATACAAAATTTGGCGATGCACAAAGGATTTTTGATGCATGAAGGTGAGAGATGTGGTGTCATGAAATTCTATAATAATTGCATATAAGCATAATGATGAACGAGTTACTGCTCTTCATTTATTTAAAGGGATGCAATATGTGGGAATGTGACCTAAATTATTTGACAATTCTGACTTTTAGAAAATAATATTTTAAGATATTCACGAGTAAGTACTTTCCATATAACAATTAACAAAGTAGATAATGAGTATATTTTTTTTCATGTGAGTGAGATAACGAGTAAACATTATTTATATGTATTTATATTTATTTATATCTAATTTGATCCGTTCTCATTCTTAATCATAATAACGGGTCGTTGTGTTTCTTGCCTTATTAATGTTGAAAACAAAAATTAAATTCATAAAAATTAACAAAAAAATTAAAACGTAATTAAAAAACTAAATTAAACAAATTTATTAGAAAGTAAATTAGTATTTAATTTAACCCATGAAATTAGTGTAATATAATTTCAACAACATATTTTAAAAAATTAATAAAAGGAAAATGTCATTTTGTTTTGAAATTCTTTTTCGAGTTTTGGTGCTCCATTTGCACCTCCCAGTCCACACCGGCAGCACCATACTGAAGGAACAAAATATTGAATTGGAAAACCTACTCAGTGCGTCTCTCTCTCTCTCTCTCTCTCTCTCTCTCTCTCTCAAGTCGCATACTGAATCCTCCAACTCCACCATGTTCGGCTCCGCGCGAATCTTCTCCGACATCGCTCTCGGCCTCCGCCAAAACCTATCGGTAAATTCTCCTTCCGCTCAATTCGCCTTCGCCATGGGCTTTGTCGAACATTCTAGATCTTCACGTTGTCCTTTTCTCTTCCGTTTTGCAGTTTCGAGGTGTGCGCGTGCAGAACATCAACATCGGAGGCGGTATGGGAGGCGAGATCCCCGACAACAAGCGTCTGGAGTACGCTCTCCAGCACCTGCACGGAATAGGGCGCTCGAAAGCGCACCACATCGTCTGCGAACTTGGCGTTGAGAACAAATTCGTCAAGGACCTCAGCAAGAGGGAACTCTATTCCATTCGCGAGTTGCTCTCCAAGTACTTGATTGGAAACGATTTGGTACTTTCTTCCCACCATTTAGACACCTCTTTGCATAAATTACTCTATGTTTTTTGTACAAAAATACCAAAAAAAGAAAGAGCAAATTGAACCTAAATTTCGTGACTGGCCAAAACTCCTATTCTTCTTTATCGTATTCAGCAGCGTTGTGTGCAATCTCCTTTACTGGGTACAATAGTACACCCTGTAATATAAGTGTGATAAACCAGAATATGTATGCTTCTTCTTCTGAATTATCACTATGTCTCCGTGAGAACAGGACCAATACGCACACGCATCTCACCAACACTCTTACACACCCACAGCAAAGACACTCACTCACAACACCAAACATGGAAATTGTAGAGGAATTACAAGAATACTAGAGATTATTCACTCACAAAGACCAAACAACCCTATATATATTTCTGGTTTACAACAGACTTAACCATAATTATTAACTAACAGAATTTTTAAATTCTGTATACAAAAACATTATTACAATAAGTTTTTTTTTTTTAAACAACTAAGGAAGGTTAGTGTAACGAGTAAGTGGTCTATTAGGGGTGTCAGTATAATGTTTTTCAGATGATTAAGGACAGTTAAGGATGGAAAAAGGAGGAGGTGGCAGTAGAAATTAGACAAAAATTTTGGGTCAGTCTAATTCACTCAAAGCAAAATGAATCAAACTTTTCTCATTGGTGAAAATCAACGTATGTTTATCGGTTTTCAGAGAAGTCGGATGAAGAGCTTCTATGAAATGTGTAGTGTATAATTTGATTCTAACTTATAAAATAGGTTTAATTTATTTTTACCTTCTCTTTTTGTACTTGTATGTGTTTAAGGAGAATTTTTTATCTGAATAGGCTTGTTTGTTTCGTCATGTGTATGTGTGTTTCAGAAAAAGTGCGTTGAGAGAGATGTGGTAAGGTTGGTGGGCATTCAGTGCTACCGAGGGATCAGGCATGTGGATAACTTACCCTGCCGTGGACAGAGGACTCATACGAATGCACGCACTAGGAGGAGCCGGAAAACTTTCTCTGGATCGAGATAGGTACCGCTTGAGAAACAGATGAGTCTGAGATGATGAAATAAGTTTTGTTAGAGACTTAGCTGGTTTAAGTGAAATCAATGTTGAGATTTACATGTTCAATATGCCTTTGGCGGGTTCATCTTTTCATTGCAAGAGCTTTAATGGTCTTATTCTGCATTTTGGTGAGTTTCTTGTCTTGTCTTGGTTGATTGGCTAGCTAATGTGCTTTTTTATTTGAAAATTTTTAATCGTTTATGCTAGGCAAGGTTTTAAATTGTGGTTGTAGCTTTGTTGCAGTGCAAAATTTCAAATAAATGTAAATGATGCCATTGCAATTGTGGTCTGCCAGAGGTTATCGATATCCAAAAAGCCTTCGTTTTAGGACTCTGAAATTGTGGTTGCAAATTATTTATAAAGCCTTGATGTTGGTGTTACTGATGTGATCACTTTAAGGGTTGTGGATCAGTTGAGAGTGGAATTTGTAGTTGGTTATTGACTTAATTCCTAATTTGATTATTTAATTTTATTCAAATTTTCCAAAAGACCTCTAGCTATTGATTTTTCGAATTTAATTCTTTAGTTTATTAAAAACATCTAATTTGGTTATTTTGACTGTTTGTTGATCCTTTAATTTTTAACCAACCATCTGCTACTTCTTCTCCTTAGTTTCATTTTTCTTATTCATGGTGAAACAGGAAACTAGCGATAGCCAAATTAAGAAAAGAACCAAATTTGATGTTTTTAAAGAATTAAAGGACTAAATTAATGTCTTTAAAATTTTAAAAGACTAAATTGAACTAATTAATAACCAGAAGTCTTTTTTAAAGTTCGAATGAAATTAGAGGATTGAATTAGGAATTAAGCTTGGTTATTATAACCAGCTTTCCTCTAGCATGTTGTTGGAGATTGATACACTTTCTTTTTCTTCGTGGCTATGCCATCCACTGTCATCTGCTTCTGCACCTATCGATTTATTTTCCAAGTTTCTCTACCAAAAATACTTTATATACTTTGTCTGAGATGGAAATTAGAAAGTAGAAAACAAGTGAAAAAGAAAGAAAGAAAAAATTAAAAGTGAAGTTATTTCTAAAATGTCTTCTAACGTGTTTTCTTTCTATGTGATTTTTAAACCAATTAATTAAGGAAAATGAGTAGCAAGTGATGTAATCACATAGAATAAAATTATGTATAAAGCATGCTAGTAACTTTGTTAACTATTAATTGGATAAAAAACTATATGAACACAATTTTAGATTAAAACAATTGTCTAAACTATATTGTTGTTAAAGCTGAAGTTACTTAATAATATTTTTACTTAAGTCATTGGACACATTTTAATACCATAAAATGGACATGCAAGGTGAATCAATATTTAATAATAATAAACAAAAATACTTAATTCAAAAACTTTAATACACACAACAATTTATAATTAAACGGTATCATAAATTTCTTATTAGATCAATTTAATTTTTAATCTTTTAAAGAGTTTGATTAATTTTTTAGATGAATAAAATAATTTGTTTAATCATCTCTAATAAGTTTAACACAAAAATGACAGTTTCATAAATCCAATAATTATTTATAATGCTTGATTTTTAACAAATATAACAAAACAAATTCTTACTTCAAAATGGGTTGTGACTTGTGGGCTAGTTTGATAGTATGCCAAAATGGATCGAGTCGGATTGAAAGTTTTAACTCATTAGTTTGTTTTGATATGGTTCATATGTAACATTCTAATTTATGAGATGTCACGGTTTTACAAAATTCAATAAATTTCAAAACTTTATCATAGCGCAAAAATGTATTTTTCAAAAACCTTAACCTTTCATTATGCATAATTTATTTGAAACATAATATTTCTAAAAACCTTGTCTAATTACATTATTCCAAAAGTATTTAAAAGGACTAAGGAAATAAACAACTACAATTATTTTGTTTCAAAAGTTTATACCAAAAGAACTTTTTAAAGAAACCCAAATCTTTTCCTTGTCATCTCACAAATCTATCCTGCCTCTGGAACATCTACAATATAATTTGCTCATGTATAACACATTATACTATCATCATTGATATTTCATTCACAAACACAAACATGTGTGGGGTAAGCTACTGATTAAACAATCATAAGAACAAGAAACATACATATTGATTATATCAACCATAACCAAACGCACAACAAGATACATACCTTCTTATTATACCAACCATAATCAAACACACAACAAGATACATACCTTCTGATTATATCAACCATAATAAAACGCATCATACATAGTAATAATAACAACATGATTCCTAATCCTTTAACATAAACAATTCAATCATACTGAATTACTCGATCCTCGACCCTCAATCCATGATCTCTAACCCTTGATGTCATCACTAACATTTCACACATAGACCCTTGGTTCATCTACTCATTAGCATCCTTGCTAACTACTTACTATAACCATTATAGTAACACCATTATCAACATAACATAGCCTAGAGCATCTCAAGTATCATGATCATCATCATAGATACACCACCATCATGACTATCCTAGTCATGAACAACAACCCCATGAGCATCACCGTACCACAATATCATAGTGGAAAGAGTCTATCTCACTTGTGTACCTGACCTCACCGATTGTAGCCGCTACTACTACCCATTTGTAGCCTCCCCTACAAGACATTTGTAGCCTTCCCTACAAATCATGTCCTTCCAATGCACACAAGGCAAAAGGAAGCACCTATCAGCATATAGAACCAGGATTTACAAGGTACAACAAGTAGACATATCATTCACTCTCATGATCATCAATCACATACTCAAGTACATCCCAATACTCACTCATCCTCCACTCTCAACCACAAGTCAAATTGACCCTAAACATAACCATTAACCTCAATCTCTGATTATCATCATGTTTCACAACTCCTCAAGCATGATTCACGTCCATTCTTCATCAAATTCGTCATTTTTCTCCAAAATGCATTGTAATAATCGAATATTACTTGAGATAATCGATTATCTCAATGAAATTTACCCATAAACATCACGCAGGAAGGGATAATCAATTATCATCCCAGATAATCAATTATTTTCAAAACCGCACTCAAAACCAATGCGTAGATAATCGATTATTGTCGAATTGAAACACACCATATACATGATTCAAGCATTCAAACATACATACATCAACCTTAGATCATATGGAAACACAGTTAACACATCATACATACATTCAAGCATCACATACCTATGTAAACATACTCAAACACATGTAATACATCACTTGAATCATCCAGATCCAATCACTGACGTGTTATACCCCCAATAATAGGGTGCAAAAGAGTTTCTGATAAAAACACCAAATAAGGTTTTCAATCAGCCAAACTAACTAAGCATAATGCTTACAAATGAGAACCAAGAAGAAGAAAATTCTTCAAAGTAGAGTTGTTGATGCGAGGCTATTTGCTCCCAAACTAGATCTCCAATTGACAATCTGAACAGTAAGAATTAAGAACCATATCTTTGGAACCCACTATCCAAAAATCAATTCGATCCAACGGTGAACGACTTCACAACAACGAAAACACAAGTGCAGATTTTATGAAATTCTTCAAAATAGAGTATCTAATGCAAGGATATTTCCCCTAAACTAGATCTATGATTGATGATCTGAACGGTCATAATTAAGAACCATACGTCTAGAACCCATTGTCCAAAAATCAGTTCGATCCAACGGTGAACGACTTCACAATGACGAAAACACCAGTGCAAGTTTTATGTTATGCGGGAATGACTTCTTATCTTCCTTTCTCTCTCACTTGGTTTTTCCCTCTCTTCAAATGACTCTAATGTGTCATACTAATTTGACCCATCTCCACTAAAATAAAGTGAGACCTAATGGTCTACATTATTTGGCCTATTCTCCATATTGGAAAGGAGTTCAATAACCCAACACTTACAACATATATTTGCATGGAAACCTTCAAGCATCATAACTTTGTTCTCTCTTAGCATCAAACCCTTTGTTGGGATAACCCACAAAACATACATAATACATTAATAGGAAAACCCATCACAAATATTACCAAAAACATATTCTCATGCACACACAAACCATTGTCCAACAATAGCAATAGATAATCATAATCATATAACATATATCGAACAAGTATTTTCATGCAAGTACGTCGAGAATGAATAGCATACAACAAAGAATGGTAAGCTTCCCCATACCTTGGCCAATATTAGGGTTTTATCTAACTTTAAAAACACCATAAATCCTCCTTTGCACTAAGGTTTTTTTGTAGTTCTTCCTCTGTTGTCTTAGAACACATATTTTCTCTCTCATAGCTTTCTGATTTTAATTTTTTGATTTTAGGATAACAAAATGTAGACCCCTTTTTACTCTTCTCCTTTTTTTATCTTTTTCTATTGTATCCCTATGTTTTTAGTTTTAATAAAATCTCTCAGTTTATCTCTAAAACCACTAAGATTTCCTATCTTATTCTGTCCTAACTACTTTTTAAAATATCATCAACCACTAAATCTTTTTAAAATTCACGTAATCTTTAAAATATCTAACAATATCTAATAATGATTTTCTCTAATAATAATATATCTTTTAATCTTTAAACCCACCAAGATTATATTTCCTATTTTCATTTAACTAAATTTTAAAATAACAACTAAATCATCTAAAAGATTTACATAATATCATTTTATTAAATATCCAGATTATTTAATTTGCATGTTTTTCCTTTCTACACACCCCTTAATTAATTTCTACATCAATTAAATAAAGGTAAAAGACTCTTTTTCCCCTAGAAAAAAATATAAAATTAAATAAATAACATAACAATTATGTTCTAACTAAATATAATCTCAAGAACACTAATTTCCTAATAAAAACTCAAAGTCTCAAATCTATTTTATTTTTAAAATCTCTATTTTCACGAATCTTACATCATCAAATTGACGAGTTAAACAGAAACTAGTCCGCTTTTGACATTTTGACATTGTTTCTATTATTTTTTAAAAATAAAAATAATTAAAAATATTAATTGTTTTATATTATCATTTTATAAAGATGCAAATATACAATATTATTTTAAGTTAAACTTAAAAATTAAATTTTAATTATTAAAGTAATGTAACATGTAAATGTAATAATTATTTTAATTTATTTAATTAAAAATATTAATTAATCAATTAAAAACTTAAAAAATATTTACATTTTTAAATATTTATTAATAGATATTATACAAATAAATTTTATAAATAAAAATTTTAAAAAATTAAAAAAAAGGTGGCAGGTCAATCCATAAGTCGGTCGACTCGCTTGTGACATGGTGGATTACAATTTCTTATTTGTTTTTTTGGTGTGAATCAACCCAACTTGATTCATTTTTAGTAAGTTAAAAATAGATGGGAATGAAACAAGTCA